ACCTTTCGGTCCATCAGTGGATTCGCTCTGCCATCCCTGATTCACAACAGCCAATCTCTCCTGTAGGTTTCCTATTTTTGAAACTTCCGCCACCGCCTTGTGCGGTACTACTGGTAAGCCTTATAAAGGCTAATATTAGCACTAAATAATGGATGTAAAATTTGCACCAACACCATGTTAATAAGCGTTATTGCGTGTCTGCAAGGGCTTATTAAGGTTCATTAACCCTTGTTAAACCTAAACCATACCAACGAGGGCCACCCCAATAAGCACCAAAATGTATTTTGATCTGCTGGGGCTGTTTTGCCGGCCCCATAATGGAAAATTATGAGTTTATTGTTGGGACCACATTACACCTTGGGATCTTGGGTGCCCATGGCTGCCCAATGTTCCGACAAACTCATCCCTTAAGTGGGCTTGCAGTGACCATTCAATAGGAATGACCACCATCAACTTAAGAACAACATGAACATCACGATCATCAACGGAGTGCAACTACTTGTTTTCGTTCTTAGTTGCAAGATTGAAATATTACATTCGTTGACGTAAAAAGCGTAAACGATGATTTAAGATCAATTGCGATATACATATATAAATAGAGACTAGGTATGACTAGGTGTTTTATATTTATATATATATATGCGCACATCCCATCATAGAATATATATGTCCGACGCATACTGTATATTAGTTGATCATTATTCCCGTGTTGAGTCGGTGATCCTCCCATTTTCCTTTCTCATCCTTTCTCCATCTTTCTCCCATGGTGCGTCCTCTTCAACGGGTGGACCACCCAACGGGTGCAAAGCCACGCCCTTATGGCGAGGCCAACGGGTAAACGAAAGCTCTGGCAATCTATACATGCTTGGTCAATCGTGACTTTCCCCAGCTGCAAGGTCAATGTTCTTTTACAATGTCTTCTCACTTTGTCAAATTGAACAAACCATGTTCGCTGAACAGTCCAAGCATGTCCAAGCCTCTATCAACATTCCAACCTTCCAAAATGACACCATACCTACTGTAGGACATATCGGTTGTGTCAACGCGCTGACAAAACAGCCGAGCCACTAGATTGGGAAACATACATTGCCTTGCCCACTTACAAGTCACGACAGCGCCAATTACTGTGCTTGAAACAAGTTCAGCCCTACGGCCTTGCAAGCTGCACCGCTTTAAGAACTACTCTGTACAGATGACTTGCAGCTGCACCAAATGACAGCGAAGCCGATTCAACCTTTTCGCATCTCTCGCTAAATAGAGAGACATACATTTGCTCACTTGCAAGTCATACTAGTGCTGGGGAGCACCTGCAGGGATTTAGCAGGTGCTCACTTACTCAGTAAGGTCCAGCAGGCACGCTGCTAGCATCATCAGGTCCAAGGCTTCGACAACTGCCTGCCTTGTATTTGCCAAAGCAAGCATCAGAGTTCGCCTTGGCTCGTGCCTTCAAGGCCTTTTGGGCAGCATCCTTGTTCTCAGCCTTGCCTAACCACGTGACAATACAGGTCCTCTGCAAAGCTTTGCCATAGGAGAAGGAGAGGTGCCATGGCAGCTTGCCTGCAAACAGGCTGTTCATGGTGCTCAAGTTGATGGTTGCCTCTTCCTCGTTGTCTTCATTCCGAGCTGACTCGCCCGACAAGAAGAAGATTCCAGGCATGGCGGGAGGCACCGTGCGCAGCAAAGTTTGGCAAGTCAGGGCGGCAATGGTCTCAGCACTGGCTTTCGGGCCACCAAGGCCATTCTTCACCATGTTGGGCTTCAAGACAGCACCCTCCAAGTAGATGTGGTGGTCTGCCAGGGCCTTGAACTGCGCAGCCAAAACCTTCTCAGTCATTTGGGCGCAGTAGTAGATGTCATGATCGCCTTAGTTCCAACTTCCAACATGTTCCAACATGTTCCAACAGAAGGCCAAGTTCTGGCGAGCATCGTAGCAATTCGTAGTACACAGATGTATGATGATGTATGTATATAGTATCATTAGAAGAGTTCCAGATCGTGTTCCCAGCCTCCCCCAAGCCCCGCGGCAGAGTCCGGCAGAGTGACCATTGGGAACGATTTCAGGCTCCACAATGGGCACCAAGCCCTCGCTCTGAGAGATGGAGGCATAGCGAGCCAAGGTGTGCACGGTATCTGCGATCGCCAGCTCTGTGGGCATACGCTTCGCCGGGTCCAACTGCAGCACGTTGCGCCACTTGGCAAAGCGGGCGCCCTGCTCATAGGCCTGGGAGCAACGACACCAGATATGGAGGAAAATGGCTAGATAATGCTAGATATGGCTAGATAAAGAGATACCTGAGAAGGGGGGAACGAAAGCCAGCATCCCATCTACCCCTATTTTCCACCATACTTTTCACCCAGCGACTCTTCAATACATTTCACCCATATACTTTTCACCCAGAGATTTTTCACCCAGAAACTCTTCTTGCACAGACTTTTCACCCATATACTTTTCACAAAGAGACTCTTCACCCATTTTTTTTTCTTGCACATACTTTTCGCCCATATACTTTTCACCCAGAGATTCTTCACCCAGAAACTCTTCTTGCACAGACTTTTCACCCAGAGACTCTTCACCCAGAAACTCTTCTTGCACATACTTTCACCCATATATACTTTTTACCAAGGGACTTCACCCAGAAACTCTTCTTGCATATACTTTTCACCCAGATACTTTTCACCCAGAGACTCTTGACCCAGAAACTCTTCTTGCACATACATGTCACCCATATACTTTTCACCCAGAGATTCTTCACCCAGAAATTCTTCTTGCACAGACTTTTCACCCAGAGACTCTTCACCCAGAAACTCTTCGTGCACATACTTTTCACCCATATACTTTTTACCCATATACTTTTCACACATATACTTTCACCCAGAAACTCTTCTTGCACATACTTTTCACCCATATACTTTTCACCCAGAGACTCTTCTTGCACATACTTTTCACCCAGATACTTTTCACCCAGAGACTCTTCACCCAGAAACTCTTCTTGCACATACTTTTCACCCATATACTTTTCACCCAGAGACTCTTCACCCAGAAACTCTTCTTGCACATACTTTTCACCCATATACTTTTCACCCAGAGACTCTTCTTGCACATACGTTTCACCCATATACTTTTCACCCAGAGACTCTTCACCCAAAAACTCTTCTTGCACATACTTTTCACCAATATACTTTTCACCCAGAGACTCTTCACTTAGAAACTTTTCTTGCACATATTTTTCACCCATATACTTTCACCCAGAGACTCTTCTTGCACCTACTTTTCACCCATATACTTTTCACCCAGAGACTCTTCACCCAGAAACTCTTCTTGCACATACTTTTCACCCATATACTTTTCACCCAGAGACTCTTCACCCAGAAACTCTTCTTGCACATCAGTTCACCCATACACTTTTCACCCAGAGATTCTTCACCCAGAAACTCTCCTTGCACAGACTTTTCACCCAGAGACTCTTCTTGCACATACTTTTCGCCCATATACTTTTTACCCAGAAACTCTTCACCCAGAAACTCTTCTTGCACATACTTTTCACCCAGATACTTTTCACCCAGAGACTCTTCACCCAGAAACTCTTCTTGCACATACTTTTCACCCATATACTTTTCACCCAGAGACTCTTCTTGCACATACGTTTCACCCATATACTTTTCACCCAGAGACTCTTCACCCAGAAACTCTTCTTGCACATACTTTTGACCAATATACTTTTCACCCAGAGACTCTTCACCTAGAAACTTCTCTTGCACATATTTTTCACCCATACTCTTCTTGCACCTACTTTTCACCCATATACTTTTCACCCAGAGACTCTTCACCCAGAAACTCTTCTTGCACATACTTTTCACCAATATACTGTTCACATCTTTTCACCCAGAGACTCTTCACCCAGAAACTCTTCTTGCACAGACTTTTCACCCAGAGACTCTTCACCCGGAAACTCTTCTTGCACATACTTTTCACCCATATACTTTTCACCTAGAGACTCTTCTTGCACATACTTTTCACCCATATACTTTTCACATCTTTTCACCCAGAGACTCTTCACCCAGAAACTCTTCTTGCACATACTTTTCACCCAGAGACTCTTCTTGCACATACTTTTCACCCATATACTTTTCACCCAGAGACTCTTCACCCAGAAACTCTTCTTGCACATACTTTTCACCAATATACTTTTCACCCAGAGACTCTTCCCCTAGAAACTTTTCTTGCACATATTTTTTCACCCAGAGACTCTTCACCCAGAAACTCTTCTTGCACATACTTTTCACCCATATACTTTTCACATCCCCTACTAGATTAAGTGGGGGGGTTGGGTGCCCCCATTTTATAGTACTAAAACGGGGGCACCCATCCCCCCCCCGGAGTGGGACCTCTATAAAATGGAAACACCCAAGGTCACAAAACAGGTGCACCTCTATAAAATAAGAAAATTATTTGAAAAAGCAAATATTTACAGCTACAAATTTACTGCAAAACCCTCCATCACTATAAAATGGGAGGCCCCAACGTACCCTGGAGCCTAGCCTTAAAATGAAGGAACTAGCCAACTTTCTACTATAGAATAGGAACCCCCAACCCCCTGTATCTTACAACATCCAAAAATGAATGGTTTTTGAGGGGTTGGGTGCTCTGATTTTATAGAGATTACATGCCCTTCCTGGTAGGATTTCCTGGGGTTGGGGGTTTCCATTTTATAGTGCCGCAGCCTTCCCACATCCTCCCACCATCATCGCCCCAAAGACACCACATTTTTCTTTAGCCCGGCACGTCCCAAAGCCAAGGGATGCTGACACAAAGACCAAGACTTATTTTCTGGTAGTTTTCCATTGGTCCCATGCTGTCCCATGTCCCAAAAGCCAAGGGATGTCGACAAAAAGACTGGTATCGACGGAGCTGGGTATTTTGGGGCAGCTGGGTATTTTTTGGGGTGGGATGGAGATAGTTTTCCATTTTATAGTGGTCCCGTGCTGTCCTATGTCCTGTCGACAGAGCTGGGTATTTTTGGGGCAGCTGGGTATTTTAGGGTAGGATGGAAAAAAAAATCCATTTTATAGTGGTCCCATGCTGTCCCATGTCCCAAAAGCCAAGGGATGTCGACAAAAAGACTCCAAGCTGGGTATTTTGTTGTGTCGACAGAGCTGGGTACTTTTGGGGCAGCTGGGTGTCTAACGCTTACCCAAATGCACCTTCCACAATCCCTACAGTTGCACCGTATAAACGGTTTTCCTCGTTTCTTCCATGTTTTTTTTTCTGTGCTTCTACTCCATAGTGGTCACACATCGAAACAGCAAGTTTTCCATTGCTTTTCCATTGTTTCACGCATGCTTTACGCCGTAAACTTTACCAATAATGGTCCCACATCGGAGCCTCAATTTTACTTGGCATCATTTTACCCTCTCCCTATTCTTTCCACCGTTTCCATTGCTTTCCAATTTTTTTTCCATTGTTTTATGTCAAAGTCCCTCCTTTTTTCCATTGTTGTTCTCATCATTTCCCCCTCCTTTCCCATTTTTTTCCCATTGTTGTCTGTCATATTCCCTCATTTTTTCTACTGTTTTTCTCATCATTTTCCCCTCCATTGCCAGCATCCCATCTACCCCTATTTTCCACCATACTTTTCACCCAGAGACTCTTCAATACATTTCACCCATATACTTTTCACCCAGAGATTCTTCACCCAGAAACTCTTCTTGCACAGACTTTTCACCCAGAGACTCTTCACCCAGAAACTCTTCGTCCACATACTTTTCACCCATATACTTTTTACCCATATACTTTTCACCCAGAGACTCTCACCCAGAAACTCTTCTTGCACAGACTTTTCACCCAGAGACTCTTCACCCAGAAACTCTTCTTGCACATACTTTTCACCCAGATACTTTTCACCCAGAGACTCTTCACCCAGAAACTCTTCTTGCACATACATGTCACCCATATACTTTTCACCCAGAGATTCTTCACCCAGAAACTCTTCTTGCACATACTTTTCACCCATATACTTTTCACCCAGAGACTCTTCACCCAGAAACTCTTCTTGCACATACTTTTCACCCAGGGACTCTTCACCCAGAGACTCTTCACCCAGAAACTCTTCTTGCACATACTTTTCACCCAAGGACTCTTCACCCAGAAACTCTTCTTGCAGATACTTTTCACCCATATACTTTTCACCCAGGGACTCTTCACCCAGAAACTCTTCTTGCACAGACTTTTCACCCAGAGACTCTTCACCCAGAAACTCTTCTTGCTCAAACTTTTCACCCATATACTTTTCACCTAGAGACTCTTCACCCAGAAACTCTTCATAGTGGTCACACATCGAAACAGCAAGTTTTCCATTGCTTTTCCATTGTTTCATGCATGCTTGACGCCGTAAACTTTACCAATAATGGTCCCACATCGGAGCCTCAATTTTACTTGGCATCATTTTACCCTCTCCCTATTCTTTCCACCGTTTCCATTGCTTTCCTATTTTTTTTCCATTGTTTTATGTCAAAGTCCCTCCTTTTTTCCATTGTTGTTCTCATCATTTTCCCCTCCTTTCCCATTTTTTTCCCATTGTTGTCTGTCATATTCTCTCATTTTTTCTATTGTTTTTCTCATCATTTTCCCCTCCATTGCCAGCATCCCATCTACCCCTATTTTCCACCATACTTTTCGCCCAGAGACTCTTCAATACATTTCACCCATATACTTTTCACCCAGAGATTCTTCACCCAGAAACTCTTCGTGCACATACGTTTCACCCAGCGATCCACCCGAAACTCTTCTTGCACAGACTTTTTCACCCAGAGGATCTTCACCCAGGAAACTCTTCTTGATCAACTTTTCCCCAACATAGCAATTTTCACCTAGGACTCGTCACCCAGAAAAAGAAGAAAACTCTTCTGCATATAATGGTCCCACATCGGAGCCTCAATTTTACTTTTAAAACCCTATTACTTTTCACCCAGAGACTCTTCACCTAGAAACTTTTCTTGCACATATTTTTCACCCATATACTTTCACCCAAAGACTCTTCTTGCACCTACTTTTCACCCATATACTTTTCACCCAGAGACTCTTCACCCAGAAACTCTTCTTGCACATACTTTTCACCCATATACTTTTTACCCATATACTTTTCACCCAGAGACTCTTCACCCAGAAACTCTTCTTGCACATCAGTTCACCCATACACTTTCACCCAAAGACTCTTCTTGCACCTACTTTTCACCCATATATTTTTCACCCAGAGACTCTTCACCCAGAAACTCTTCTTGCTCAAACTTTTCACCCATATACTTTTCACCTAGAGGCTCTTCACCCAGAAACTCTTACATATAATGGTCCCACATCGGAGCCTCAATTTTACTTTTCACCCATATACTTTTTACCCATATACTTTTCACCCAGAGACTCTTCTTGCACATACTTTTCACCCAGAGACTCTTCACCCAGAAACTCCTCTTGCACATACTTTTCACCAATATACTTTTCACCCAGAGACTCTTCACCTAGAAACTTTTCTTGCACATATTTTTCACCCATATACTTTCACCCAGAAACTCTTCTTGCACATACTTTTCACCCATATAGTTTTCACATCTTTTCACCCAGAGACTCTTCACCTAGAAACTCTTCTTGCACATACACTTATACTTTTCACCCGGAGATTCTTCACCCAGAAACTCTTCTTGCACAGACTTTTCACCCAGAGACTCTTCACCCAGAAACTCTTCTTGCACATACTTTTCACCCATATACTTTTTACCCAGAGAATACTTTTCACCCAGAGACTCTTCACCTAGAAACTCTTCTTGCACATACTTTTCACCCATATACTTTTCACCCAGAGACTCTGCACCCAGAAACCCTTCTTGCACATACTTTTCACCCATATACTTTTCACCCAGAGACTCTTCACCCAGAAACCTTCATTTTTTTCCAGTGCTTTTCCATAGTTTTGCTCGACATCATTTTCCCGCCCAGATCCACCTCGGAGGGCGGACCAGGGGGGAATCGATACCCCAACGTCACCCAATTGCCACCTGGTACATAACCCTAAAAAAATTTACCTGCGTCCACCTTTTTTACCACCTATTTTCCGCATTTTTATCCCACTTCGGGCGCTCTGCCCCCAGACCCCCTTAACTCACTTTGTTCGCAAAAATAACTTCGCCTAGCCTAGCGGCTGGCTTTCGTGA